TTTAAACAGCAAAAACGGTTATTTGAGAAAAATACTACCAACTACTAACCTGGCCGATTTTATACAGATTACTGGAAAAATACTACTAACTACTAATCATTAATTCATTTTCCCAGAAAAATACTACTAAGTACTAACCTGGCCGATTTTTTTAAAAGCCCGTTCGAACTTGCCCAGCCCAAATTGATTGCATCATAAGCCCTAATTTAGTTTCCTCCCCCAATATTAGATTTTTTGTTTTGTTGTTGCTGATTTTGGGGTTTTTTGCGTTGAGAAATAGCAGACTCATCAATCTTTACCGGCGCCGATGAGTCACTGATCGTTGAGTGATTTTCATCTTCTTCCATGTTCCTCCTTGTAAGGTAGAAGAAGTTTAGAGATTTATCCTTCGTAGATTCGTCTTCTCGAACAGGTAGTAGAGCTTCAGTTCTTTGTTCTCCTTTGTCATGTATTCTCTGTTACTCCATGGAAAAAGGTTGGGCGAGTTACAGAAATGGCGTAATCTGAGATTTGCAGTGAACCATTTGCAAAATGCATCTGCTTTTTCCAATTCCTTCTCCTCTGCTAGTGCTGCTTCAGATGTGAGCCTTAGAGATGTTCGAAAAGAGAAGACTTTTACTGTCTCTTACCTCGTTGATTCACTTGGTTTCACCAAAAAACTCGCAGAATCGATCTCGAAGAAAGTCAGTTTCGAAGACAAGACAAATCCAGATTCTGTCCTGAATCTTCTTAGAAATCATGGTTTCACTGATTCTCAGATCTCCAGCATCGTTACGGATTATCCACGGTTGCTTATATCAGATGCTGAGAAATCCATTGGTCCTAAGCTTCAAGTTCTTCAGTCTAGAGGAGCTTCAAGCTCTGAGCTCACAGAGATTGTTTCTTTAGTTCCTAAAATCTTGGGGAAGAAATCTATCAGTGTATACTATGATTCTGTCAAGTGCATTGTAGAAGCTAGTAAGAGTTCCAATTATGAAAAGTTAAGTCATTCTTTCTCACAGAGTAATCTAGAGAATAAAATCCGGAATGTATCGGCTTTGAGAGAACTAGGTGTGCCTCAGAGGTTGTTACTCCCGTTGCTCGTCTCTAAATCGCAGCCCGTGTGTGGGAAAGAGAATTTCGATGCTTCCCTTAAGAAAGTTGTTGGGATGGGTTTTGATCCAACCACTTCAAAGTTTGTCTTAGCTCTGCGGATGCTTTACCAAATGAGCGACAAGACGATTGAAGAGAAAGTCCAAGTCTATAAAAGTTTAGGCTTTAGTGTTGAAGATATATGGGAGATTTTCAAGCATACTCCTTCATTTCTGAAAGTCTCGAAGAATAAGATATTGAAGTCAATGGAAACATTTCTAAGCTTAGGATTCAGCAGAGATGAGTTTGCGATGATGGTTAAACGCTATCCTGCGTGCATTGAGTATTCTGCAGAGTCGGTTAAAAAGAAGACTGAGTTTATATTAAAGAAGATGAATTGGCCAGTAAAGGGCGTTGTTTTGCACCCTCAGGTAGTTGGATACAGCCTGGAGAAGAGAATTGTACCAAGGTGTAACGTAATCAAAGCTCTCATGTCCAAAGGATTGCTTGGAAAGGGAAGTGAACTCCCTGCATTGTCGTCTGTTATGTCGAGTACCGACCAGACGTTTTTAAACAGGTATGTTGTGAAGCATGACAAGCTTGTGCCTGAATTGATGGCTATTTTCACTGGAAAACATGTTTCAGAGACCATAAGGCGCTCGCACAAGAATGAGAAATGTTAAGGTTTTTTCTTTGCTTCCTGTTAGTTTTAGATTCGTAGATGAAATCTATTGACAATGAGAAATGGAAGCAAAAGATGAGTTTTTATTGTTGTATCTCTGAAACCTCAAATTTGTGATTTTGTAATCTCAGTTTGACTTTGATCCAACCATTTTCCTTCTAATAATAAATCAATCCGGCTGGGACTCGTAATTTGAATCTCTGTTTTACGGGTTATTACATTCTTTACTCTATGTGCTCTCTCGGAATGGTTTGATCTTAGGTTAAGAAGCATATTCTCAGAATGTGATTTTAGCTGTTCTGAAATGTAAGCAGAGTACTGGCAAGAAAACCGATCGAGTATCCAATTACACGCGAGGAAAACCATCGATTGAATGAGAAAATAAACCGATGATGAAAAAAAACTTTGACAAGGGGACTAGAAAAGAAGCTTACAACATTGATCTTGTGTTCTTCAATGGGAAGAATTCACATGTCCTTCATGTGTTGAACAAGTATCCACAAATCAGAGCTGAGTATATTTACAAT